GAAATAGCCATATGGCGGCCAAAAACTGTATATTCCCTTCTTGTTCTCCAGCCCGTTCGTGCATTCTTTCCAAAAATCGGGACTTTTTTAAAACGCTGCAGGACGCAGGACAAATTGTTGAAAAGTGGGACTGTCCCGCCAAAATCGGGACGTCTGGTCACCCTATTCTACTTGAAATTTTAAGAGCACAGGTACTAGTGGTGTTAGTCTATGGTGCACTGCTATACAGGAAATACCTAAGGCTGGGTGATTTACGAAGGAAAGAGGGTTATCAGGCTCATGATTCTGCAGAAGAACAAGCACAGCACTGATCCCTGCTGCTGGGGAGGCCTCAGGGAGCTGCAAAGCAAGGTGAAGGTGAAGGGGGAGCAAGTGTCACATGACAAGAGAAGCTGCAAGAAAGGGAGGAGGTGCCAGGCTCCTTTAAACACCCACATGCTGAGTCAGGGAGAAGCAGAGGGAGGAGGATGCCGTAAACTAATAAAGGAAGAACTCTTTCACCAGGGTTCCTTCCCCACAGCTCAAGCACTGCCCCCCAGGCCCACCTCTGACACTGGGGGTCAGATTTCACTGTGACCTTGGGGGCAACACCCATACCACATCCACATCGGGTCTCATGAGAAGAGGACACGGACAGCCTCTGTATCTCCCCACTGCTGATGCACGTGCTGCTCTCTGAAGGCTACGAATTCTTAGACGTCTGGTTGTCATTTCACAAACACACAAATCATCAACATCCTCAGATACAAACAGTCCCTGGGAAGTAGGTATCTTTCCCAAGTTCCCCCACACTGAGTCAGCACCCCCTCCCCCCCCCCCCCCCCCCCCCCCAGATCAAGTGGTCATGCTTTCCTTTTGCCTTCCTACATCTTTTTTCTTACACATAATCTCACTTTCATAATTGGTCTAGAAATATATGATTAAAATATGGCTTTTTTCTATATTTGAATCGAGGTGTGTGGTACTTGTTCTCAATTTGACACAGGAGTCAGATCCGTCATCATCTCTCAAAGCAAAAATAGCTTCCTGCAAATAACTTCTTCCTAAGGTACTAGGGGCTACTGACACTGGAAAGTTCTCTAATTCCCCCTGTACAACTTTTAATCTTCTAAACCACCTCATGAATGATGGCAAGCCCACTAAGACAGGGCCTTGGTCCTACTGTGACATCTCACTTTACTTCCATTCCTGTTCTCAGCTTTCATGCCAGTCACTGATGCCTTCTTCCTGTCCCAATTGGTGTATCTGAGCCTGCTGAAACACAGCACACCGGAGGGCGGGTCAGCATCCCTGCTACCCTGGGGACTAGGACAGGCTGGGGGGCAAAGGTCCCTGAGCCCAGACACAATCGGGGGCAGAGTAGATGTGAGACGCTAAGAGCTACTGAAAGGGGAGAGAAGGTGACAAAGATTCTTTTAGAAAGACAGGAAAGGCAGCTGTGTTATTTCAGGTTCACTGTGCTGCAAACAAGCCCTGTTACTCTGACAACGAATGACATGGCTTGCATTCCCTGATTACATGCATTGTGAAGGTTGTTATTTAAAGACAAAAATTTTATGAGGAAAAAATGCCAGCAGTCCTAACTGTGCTGTGTAAACTACAGCCCCTTCTCCATGTAATACAAAACACGAGCTGACATTTTTGGGTCACTGACTGAAGCAGACGCAGGAGAAATCTGTCTCCACACATACCACCAAGGGTGGACAGGAAGCCCAACGACAGCAACGCCCACAGCTCTACCCTCTTCCTCTTTCAGTTAGCAACAAAATAAAAGGAAAACCATCATGGACAACTTAAGGCAAAGCAACAAACTACATATTACTAAGTAAAAGTCAAAAATGGTATAAGAGGAAAAAAAACTAAGAAAAAGGAAAAAATACAAAAATGGCATGAATATACCTCAAGATTTGCTCTTATTTTCCAGTTATCTCTTTATGCTAGGTTATTTTTTTCTCCTAGGTTATTAACATTAAAATATTTTATATAAATGGGGAAAACTGGAAACCATGAAAATTGCTACTTCTCATTGCTAAGACACCCCACGGTATCATCAGCTAAATATAAAATCCTACCAAAAGCTCAGCAGTCAGAGGTTCCAAACAGCATCCAAGGGACTTTAACTGAAAAAGTACTGTGTCAGCTCACAGGGAGAACATAGCATTTCTTATCTTAAAATTATCCATTACAGAAAATAAGTTTAATTACTGCATTACTGATCGTACCATAAAATTACATCTTAAAAATAGATAATTCTGTATCATTCTCTCCAAGTATGTGATGGTATCCTAAATATAAAACTAAACTTAACGTGGAGGGAGAGCAATGTTTCTCTTTTGATATTAGACATTCCACATAGGCCACTCTCGTAAAAACAGAAGAAAAGCTCTAAGTGGAGTGAAAAGAACCACAAACTCCATCAGCAAATTCAAACAGCAAGAGCCGCTTGGGCTATGGCCTTTAGCCACGAACTAAAGACACTATCCCAGGACACACACAAATTGTCATGAGAAGGCAAAAGAACACTGCCAGAGTCTGCAATCCAGAGCCAGGCCAAAAGTGTTAGGAAAAATTTGAATTATCAATGCTATTAAATCCCTATTTTTTAAAAAATGATCATCCTTTATACACAATGAACCTAACCTAATCTACAGAAATCCACTGAATTTGTCTCCTTGGATACCTAGAAACAATTTCTTTCAACACTTGTAAGTGAAATAATACATGTATCACACCAAAATCAAAAGTATTTTGAAATGGATATAACTAAATATTCATGTTGAAATCTGTGGTGCTGGACCTAAATTACGGCATTGATGTGATCCCATGATTTTAATATAAATAGACACACAAATGACTTTGTGTCTACATGGCAGCCTGTACATAATACATATCTACACATGCATACACAAGGATGTATACACACACTATGCATGCACACAGATGTGTACACATGGTACACATGCACACACACACAGACGTGTACACACATGTACACACAGAGAGACATGTGTACACACAAGGTACACATAGTACAACTGCATGTGTACACGTTACTACACACATGGATATGTACATACTACATGCACATATACACTGAAAGGCACACAAACAAAAATGCACACATACTATGCACATGTACACAAAAATGCATATATACTACACTTACACAAATGTGTGTACATGCTACACACACATGCAAGTTTGTACATACTTTACAGACGTTCACATGGATTTGTATGCATTTCACGCACATGTGCATGAATGTGTGCACACACTACACACACATACACAGGGATACGTGCGCGCGTGACATATGCATACACAGGGATACGTGCACACACTACACATGCACACAGAATAATCCAATTGTTTCTATGGTCCAATAGCACTTCAGCATTTCAAAGCATGGGCAGCACTCCCTGCCACCTGGGGCCCTCCTCCCCCGCTCCCTGTGCCCAAAGCATCACCAAGTCCTGTCCAGCTCATCTTTCAACTGGCTCTCCTCCACGGCCATCACCGCAGCCAAAGGCACCAATGAACCTCCCACTTCGAGCAATTTCTCCAGTTCTCAGAACCACTCTAGCCCCCTCTAATCCATTCTCCAAAAGTATGACCAGAGTGTTGTTTTCAAAACACAAATCCAATTATAACACCCCCTCCTCCCTTCACACTCACCCCAAGATAAACAGAGACCCTTTCCCAGCTTCACACTGCTCTGAGTGCCAAAACCAAAGTTCTCAGCTGTGGCCCACATGCCCTGGCTGGTCTTGCCGGCTTCATCCAACTTCATCTAGTACAAACACCAGTGTCCTTCCAGCTGCTGTACCTTACACCATAGACTCAGTGACTTATCAATACCCTCAATCCTCTCACAGTCCTGGAAGTCACAAATCCAAAATCAGTCTCACTACAATGAAGGTGTTGACATGGCTGCGTCCACCTGGAGGCTCATGGCTGAACCCCTCCTCCTGTCACTCCAGCCTTTGGCAGCCACCTCATCTCCGACCACTGAGTGGCCATCATGCTCCCTCAAATAAAACGCTGTGGTGACCCTGGGCCCACCTAAACAACCTTCCTGGCTTAAGATCCTTTACTTACTCCCATCTGCAAAGTTCCTTTTACCAAGAAGGTGACACAGTCACCTGTTCTGGGGAGTAGGACATAGATGTTTTGGGAGGCTATCACTGACTCTGCCCAGTCCTTGCACACTCGCTCTGCGTTTCCCGGCAACAGTGGCCTCCCTTACAGGGCTGGCACCAGGCCGCCATCACTGAATTTCTGCACACATTTCTCCCTCCACACAAGCCCCACATCCAGTCATCCTTCCACTCTCGGCTTAACTATCCCTTTCCTGGTAGCCCAGCTCAGGTCAGAAAGCCTGCCTTTCAGTGCACTGAGCCCCAAAGCACTTATCTGTGTAATTGCATGACTAGAAGACCATCTCTGCAAAAGGAGGGTCCAGGTCTTTTCACTTGTCCTATTTTCATAGCCTCCTCCCTAGTAAATACTGGTGACTGTATGAACCCCTCCACATAGGCAAAACTATGGTTTACGTGACTACTGAGGGAATAGCTCCAAATATATTAACAGGCCACACATAGAGAAATCAAAAAGCAATTTCATATATGAACCTAAATCAAAAGCTCTGACAAGAGATACTTTGAATTACAAGCATTCATTTAAAATAGGGAGCTTTTAACTAAGATCCTTCAGTGTGGCTTTTTGACTGAAGCCAAATTTTACAGAACAAATCCTAACAAAAGGTCCTGCACTTGAGGATCTGGAGGGCCTTGTGGCCACAGGTTCCACACCCCTGCAGCAATCTACTTGGCCTGGGTAGGCCCAGAATGCAGAGTGCACCAGGCTTGCCCTCATATCCCAAGGCCAGTACATACACAGTGTAACAAGGAAGATCACACCATACAGGGTCTGCAGTAAGCAGACGTGCTCCCACAAGATAGTACTAGATGCCAGAGTAAGACTCGTGGCTATCCCACATTTCTGCTGAGGCCTCACAATCCCCGATCCTCTATTTACTGGCGTGTAAGTGACATCTAAGACACTCACAGGTGAACAACAATGCAGTGAACTTCTTATACATGTATCTTTGTACTCTGCTGAACATACATGAAAATAGATCAAGGACACGACATATATTGAACTCCCACTTCCAGTGGGTCATTCTGATACATCTCCCTCCAAGGGCAGTTAAGATGCTGGATGAGATACACAAGCAGCCACTTAAAACAACGAAGGACTAAGAGACAGTGAGGAAGCCTGGCCAGCCTGCGATGAGGCAGAGAAAGGCAAAGAACTGGAGGCTGAGTTTGCCACAGGTGAAAGGAAATGAGAAATGCCCTAGAGGACAGCACTGCACCAAAAACTGAGAAGTATGAAAATGAGGGAGGCACAAATAACTGCTCGAAATTTTCCACAACTAAGGAAAATATACCAAATGATATTGTCAAGAAGCCCAAATAAATTCCAAGGATAAGGATGAACATACTGTGTGTGGACTACAATCCATAATTTTTTTAAGGGTAAGAAAAGGAAAGTATCATGTAGAGGAATGGACACCATGCTTACAAAGGACAGTTACTGATTCTTTATCACGTTAAAAGGAAACGCTGGCTCGGCGCCTGTGGCTCAAGTGGCTAAGGCGCC